GTACAATCATATGAATTAAAGGGAATCTATAGTATTTTTATTGGGTTAAAGATAAGCATGTGAATACAACTGACAGGAAACAAATGTATCGATTTTTTTAAATTTTTACTTGTCTCCAGTTTATATTTCTGCACATGAAGGCAACAATATTGGCTCATTAACCCTTTCACAAACTAGGTGCTTCTATGTATTGATGAATTAAAGGGCATTACTTATTGTTTTGGATTTATTTTCATTATTAATAAATCACACACACACACACACACACACACACACACACTCCTCCTCTGCTAGTAGTGGAAAATCCCATTTCCTTTGCCAGTAGAGACAATGCTGCTTCTGTTTCTCTGCTTGAAGGGAGATGCCTTCCTACTCCTTTTGTGAGCAGAGGCACATCCCTCCTCCTTCTCCTCTGCTAGCAGTGGCACACCCCTCCTCATTCTCCTCTGCTAGCAGTGGCACACCCCTCCTCCTCTGCTAGCAGTGGCACACCCCTCCTCCTCGTCTAGTAGTGGTACAACCCCTTCTCCTCCTCCACTGCCAGTAGTGGCACACCCCCTCCTCCTCTTCTAGTAGTGCTAGAACTCCTTCTCCTCTGCTAGCAGAGACGACCTCCATCCTCTCTTCCTCTGCTAGAAGTGACAGACTTTCCTCCTCCATTGCTAGCAGAGGCACACCCCTCCTGCTCTTCTAGCAGAGACACACCCACTCGTCCTCTTCTTCTAGCAGAACCACACCCCCTTTCCCACCTCGGCTGTCAGAGACACGCCCCCTCCTCCTCCTACCCCTCTGCTAGCATCTTACATAGATAGATTTCTGGCAGATACCACAATCTGGCAGAAAGCATGAAAGCTCGGGACGTTTCCTGCAGGCATTGCCAAGTATCCACTTTGAGTAAATATTTATTTTATACAAGCAAACAAATACATTTCTAAAATTGTAAATTTGGGTAATTTGGATAAAATCGCCCATTAACCCCATGATTCTTTATATTTAAACAAAATAAACTTTCTAGTCACTGACCATTTGTATTACTTTTTTTGGGTATATGATGACACAAACCAACAACTCGTGAAACAACTTCACTGGATTCAAATTGGATGTTTTGTAGAAGTAGAACGTTGTTTCGTGCAGTATGTATCGTAAACAATTGTCACGTCCTTTTCATCCTTTTGTGTGTTGCTGATCTCCTGAAGCCTTTTTGAAGGCACTTCCTGTCAATGGCTGTGTACGTTTTTCTGAGGGCGACAACAATGGACCATATCTGCATAATGTGTATGAAAACGGCCACTTGGAGTCTCCATCGGAAGCTGAGGGATAGGGCGAGGACAACACATGTGGGAGACAGGGACAGAGTGTTGTCAGCCCATAACAGGAAGTGGCTGAACAAGGACCCCCATGGCAGGATCATTTATTGAGTGCTGCAGATTTAAAATTAAGGAAAATGCCTTTCAAAGTGACAATAACCTCGTAAAAATTCCAAGTGATTTTACATCTACGTCAATGTAATCGTCGCCATTCCTTTGTATGCGCTTCATGTTTATGTCTACTTGTTTGCAGCTAAATTATGCCGAGTCCCGACTGAGCCAACTGGAGAGTTGTCACTGTGAGAAGACCTGCCAGGTCCATGGTATGATCTACAGGGACAAAGACACATGGGTAGACGACGACCACTGCCGAAACTGCACGTGCAAGGTAAGACCGCGCCAGAGCTCATTGGCAAACCCTCAATATTCATTTTTCCTGCCGTGGACAGTATTCTTAAAGGAGAAGGACAACTATGGGCTTTTCCCCATAGTTCTCCTTAGGGTAACGTGACGACACAAACTAGTGTCCTCCCGTCACCCTAAGCTCAGTATACCGCAAGCTGTAGCTCGCGGTATACTGAGATGCCGCAGCCGGAGCGGATCCCGACATCGATGTCGAGATCCGCCCAGCTGCGTGAGTGACAGCTGGCTCTGCCTATCTAGAGGCAGAGCCAGCTGTACCCGCCCCCTCCCCCGTCCGTTCCGCCAGTCAGCGCTGGCAGATCGGAGCGGGGAGAGGGGAATCCAGCCCCTCCCCCTGTCATGGCAGAGAGCCGTGACAGGATCGAGAGGTGAGGGAACCCGGTATGTGTTCCCTCACCTCCCGATCTACTGAGCCGACCTGTGACAGTCATATTGTCACAGGTCGGCTTAGAACTATGAGGTGAGTGGAAATCACTCATCTCATAGTTCTCCTTTAACCCCATTGAGAATCTTTGGGATGTGCTGGAGAAGACTTTACGCAGTGCTCCGACTCTCCCATCATCACTACAGGATCTTGGTGAAAAATGAATGCGACTCCGGATGGAGATAAATGTTGTGACATTGCATAAGCTTATTGAAACCATGCAACAGAGAGTGCGCGCCGTAATCAAAGATAAAGGCGGTCCAATGAAATATCAGAGTGTGTGACTTTTTATTTGGCCAGGCCGTGTATTTTGCCTTTTTCCGCCCATTGTATGAGGGCTGCTGGAGACCTCCGTCTTTTGTACGCGTAGTAAATCAGCACAGCCCTCATGCCTTTCCCGGTACGGCGTGGAGGTATTTCGGATAATTATATCCTTGGGAAATTCAGTTTTCTAGAATAAAGCTTATTGACTGCTTGGCAGCTGCAGCTTCGGATCCGTCTATAAAGGGCGCTGAGAAAATGGTCATTATTGGCGGGCTGGTGCGTGCTTCCTGTTGCTAGCGTATAATGGAGCAAG